GGGGGGGGGGGGGGGGGGGGAGAGAGTTTAAAACAAACGCATCCCACATTTGTTTACAGCCATGTCACACACAGAAATGATTTGTTTTTCAGTTTCACACGCGTGTGTCTGTGGCGGTGTGTGTTTGTGCAGGCAGACACGCATACCACAGCAGAAGTAACACTGAATAGGAGCCTTTTTTTTAAGTTACCAAACACTGACAACCCCCCTAATTAAGTAGTTGGCCTAGACAGACACTAGGCTCCTTAAGCATCCCCTCCTGTGACCGCTTGTCTCTTTGTGGCCCAAACAGTAGGAAGGAACTCGTCTGACATGCGTGAAAAAGCTGTCTGTTCAGGAATCTACATCTCTCTTACCTCCCCCTTCTCTCCCTCTCTCCGCATCACTACAGATGGACAACAAAGGCTGGAACGGACAAAAGGCGTCATTTACCGAAGCGACAAGTAACAGTGAGTATGGGCACGTCCCCCTGTGTCTCTTTCCATTTCCTTCTCCGCCTCCCTCTCTGGCTCTCCATCGCTCCCTCCATCCCGCAGGTGGTTTTAGTCGCCGAGATGGCCCGGCGTTTAATCTCTGTGACTGGTCAATGGGCTTCTGACTGTCAGCTTAATCGGCCGTGCGTCCTCGTGGGGAGCCTGCGAATTCAGGCTCATTCACACAGGCTTACAGGGCCGGCACACTGAGGCCCTCCGGGGAGTCCCCCCACTGCCTTCCTGTGCAAAGAAACGTAGCCTTTCACTCAGGATTAACACACAAGCACAGCGCAGATGCGCACACACGTACCAATAATCCTGCACACAGAGACACAAAATTGTGAGACAGGATATATGATGAGATGATATGAGGATATACGTGATGCCAGATATATCTCACTCAGCTGTGTGTCTCTTCCACGTACCAGCTGTAGACAAAATAAGATAAAGAGCTCATGAAAAAGTGCTGGAGGTTTGAAGCAACTTAATCATCTTTACACAAACACTGCTACAAAGGAAGCTCATAGTAACCCAATAGCAGTACTGATGTATTATAAATATAGTCCTTCACACTGTATATCTTTATCATTTCCCTTCTGATTAGTCTATTGAATAGCCTGTGACTTCTTTCTTGATGCAGTTGGCAGTTCTTGGCACATGGTGTCACAAGTTTAGATGCAGGTCTCTTCAACATATTAAATCATTTTAGACTTTTTTCTGTCCCTCCAGTTTGAGTCGAGCCCAGATGATCCAGCCTCTCTGGATCTGGTTTTCAGTCGGCCACCAGGTAGGTCCAGACTTAAATATCTGGACTATAACTATTTGTTGGATTGCCATGGAACTGTGTACGGCCATGGTCCCCAGAGAATGAATCCTGTAATAATCAAATTCCCATCATCCTCAACTGTACTTTGTGCTTAGTGATTATTAGCAACTATTACCATGCTAACACACTAAACTAAGATGGTAAACATTACACCTACTAAACATCAGTATGTTAGCATTATCATTGTGAGTATTTTATCATGCTGGAGAACATTCAGCTCAAAGCACCGAGGGGCCTCATAGAGTTGCTTGCATGGCTGTAAATTCCCAGTCCTGTTGTGCATCGAAAACCAACATGTCAGATCACCAGACCTCTTTTGGCTGACAATGCTGCTATAGCTGCAGGTGTAGTGCTAATATATCGTAAAAGATTCTCACTTGCTTCAGTAAGCTGACAGTAACCTGGTTACTTAACCAGATAGGAAACAAATGCAGACGTGGAGTAGACAACCTCCTAAATCATCACGTCATTTGGAAAAAATCCTCTACTTAAGGACATTTTTAACTGTAGACAAACACAAAATAGTTTCATGACAGGATTTATGTTTGAATTTACATGGGATTGTGGTGGCCTTAAGGGACATTTCATTTATAGAGGAGGATAGGAATAAAATGCGTAAGGATGCAATTTTGTAGGAAACAGCTGGTCTCTATCAGCTGTATCTGTTAAGTTGGCTGTCTTGTCTGTAATCAAAATAAAAACAGTGAAAAAACTCTCTCTGAAAGTCAAACGCTATTTCGAGACATCACATTCTATTTTCTGTTTCCTGGTCTGGCAGCGATGTTATTTTTCCATTTATTCCACATGGTGTGGGAGTTAAGTAAGTAAATATTTATTACAGGTGTAAAAATGCAAAGAATTCATAGTCATGGTGTTGCTTAAGCAGATTTATGTGTATCATAATAACGTCTGAGCTTAATTTGTTGTGATGTCCCAGCTTGATAAAAGGACACACTGCAAGCAGTCTCGCTCTGGATGCCAGCAAACTAAATGCCAGCAAGTTTGAGAAAGAGCAGTTTAAGGGACAAATGAACAGTCTGTGAGATGTGGAGCAGCGGAGTGGAAAACAAACAGATAGCCTTATTAGATTTGAATGTGCTGTCGTCACTCGGCCCTAATGAAGGGTTTTGCGAGTGCTGCAGTGCTGTGACATTGGTATCCAGCTTCAGTCTGGAGAGGAGAATCAATGTGATGTTTCAGCTTTCTCATGTTGAAAAGCACAAAGCAGATTGGTAAGACTAATCACTCTGCCTCTTTGTGTTTGCACATTGTTGTTCCAGAGTTAATATACAGAATCCAGATGAGAACAGAGCCCCTGCCACAACTTTATATAGCACTCATATGTGTGATTTAGTCCAATTTTCTGAAAGATATGTCATCTAAATTGTGTTTATAGATAAATGGTTGTTCTGTTGGATAAACTATGTTGGTGGTTGTGGTTTCTATGGTAGCCCAAACTCCAGGAATTGCCCAATACCTCCAGAGCAGAGCCCCCTGGGAAACGAAGTCTTCCTTATTTGGTGATTATTCCTATTGTTGGCTCGGAGCGTGCCTTTGGTCCCGTGCCATTCCCACTCATAGTTTATCTCACACTCAGCGTGAGGCTTAACTATCTGCTAATTACCTCTTTAAAGTTGCCCAAACCGCACAACACTCACACGACGCTAATGTCTGAATAATGTTTATTGCATAAACACCATTTACAACTCATTCAAACAGATACAGCTGGTCTCGGTTTTCTGTGTGTGTGTGTGTCTATGATTGCTGAATGGAAGATGTTTCTGGTTTGTCCGTTGTTTTGATTGACTATGCAGTTTATTGAATAAAAGTGGGAATAACTAAATCAGTTTGCAGAAAATGCAGCGTACTCACTAAAAAATAAGCTCTGGCCTCAGAATTATTGTAACATATTTTATGCGATAAACAGTGCTAATTGTAGTTTGTGCTGGTTTTTTTTGAGAAAACAAATAAAATGAGTTGTTTGCCTTGACTCATTTCTGTGCAATCAAAGTTGAAATCCAATAGCTTCTTCTTGTGGATATTTTCACATTCAGCTCTTGGCAGACTTTACTAGTGTTTCAAATTACAGGAGCTGTTTCACTGCTAAGTTCCTTTTTCACTATTCAATACAATTGTAGCACATGGTGACATTATGGTTGCCGCACCCAACCACACACTTCAGGGATGCTGGCTGTAGGTGCAACAAGCTCGAGGGGTTCAACTGGAGAGAGTACATCGAAGCACTTCTTTTTTTTTTTTCTTTAAAGTTATAAGCCATAAGATTTTAGTCCTGGTTGATTTGGAGGTTTGTGGTGTGTTTTGATAATATACAGGTCAGTAGAAAACGGCACATATATCAACCACAGGAGGATAATCTGTTTATTATCCCAAACAAACCATGGGCAGGGATGATTCATACCATCAGATAGTCAACAATATCACTAAACACGGTACTACTGAACTCAGGATTCACTATTGTCTTCTGCATTGCGGGAATTCCATCCCTCCATCGGCTTTTGTCTTCTATTGTTTGTGAATCCTACATCAAAAGGCGTACTCTGCCAGTCAAGGCATCAGTAAAAGCTACATAAAGATTTATCTACAAAATGCAATGGCTATTACAAAAAAAAAAAAAAACAGGTTGAGAATTTGCTTGTGGTAGGTGGCATGGTGTGGCATGACAGACAGATTAAGTAATAAACCAATGAGGTTTATGAATAACTTTATTGCTGTTATAAAAAGAGTATAATTGTGGCTAAGAATATGGTTAAGCTGTGTCACAGTTGTACCTGAGCTAACGTACAAACTGCTCTCTACAAAACTGCCGTTGGCCGGCTGTACTCCACATAAAGACTGTTGCTGTATTACGCAAGGCAAAGCAGCAGAAAATAGGTAAATGTGTCACAGGCTGTTCACTTATGGCTGTGTCCTTCCATTCTTGCTGTTCCACATAGAACACACACACACACACACACACACACACACCCCTCAAGCCCCCACAAGTACTCAGTTTTTGTGTATGTGTGTGTATGGAAGTGTGTGGTTGTGTCCTTTGCCCCGTGTGAGCCGTGGGATGCAGTGCTACAACAAACAGGGTGGCTTAGAAGACAGGAAGGGAGTGTAAAAGGAAAGAAGAAGAAAAAGAAGTAAGAAGAGAGCAATTTTTCTCCCTTCTATTCCCATGGGTATTGCAGCAGGGCTTTTCACTCGAGTTGCCACATTTCATTTCCTGCTGTGCATATTTGTGTGTGCGTGAATGTGTGTCTGTGCGTTGTGTGCTTGTGTGAACTATGTGAGGGTCTTGCTCCACCGTGGTGATTTATAGCGGTGGGCTCCGGCCCTATCTGTTTTCGATCAGTCTCATGCTTGGCTCTGGCTTCCCTCCAGCGCTCCCCTGGCCCACCGGACGCCGAGTCTGGAACCAGCACCACAAACACACACTCTCCCTTACTCTTTCATTCCCCCTACTTCTCCGCCTCACTCTGCTTCTCCCCTGCTCTTCTAACTTTCTCCCACTTCATGTACACAGTTGCACAATCTTTACCCAACATCCTCACGCACAAACACACTCCGTCACTCTTACTCATTCACTCTCACTGTCTCTGCTCCTTTGTCTCACTTTCGCTCTTTCTCTTGCTGTCACGCTCTTGCTCTCCATCAGCTGACACCAGCTTCAGGCACTCAATCACATGCAAACATGCAAACATCCTCACGGGCACGCCCACACACACTTAGGCAGACCATCACACACACACTGTTCCCAGCCCCCACCACCACAGTATTCTTTGTCCACAGCTGATGTCATGTTGGCTAACACCTTTAATTTTTTGCGATAGATTCAGAATTCACAGGCCTGTGAGTTTTACTTGCGTAAATTCAAATTAAAGTTGTCATCGGGATTGGGAGGGGGGAAAAAATCCGAGCAGTTGTGTCATTGCTGGCATAGGGCAGTTTGTTGTAGTATGAGTAATAAGTCCTGGATTTCATTGCTGTTTCCTTCAGCTTCTCTGCTGCTCTGGAAAGGAACGCAAACTTCATTGTTCATAATGGGAAATACTGTCTGCAGGTTCCCAGAAACTAAGACCAGAGTAGGCTACAAGTGTGCAAGAAAATGTCTGTCTTTGTATGTGTGTATCTATGTGTGATGGTAATGTTAACTCAAACAGGAAGTGGCCTGTCAGTCATACGCTCACTCCAGCGCTTTCTCCCAGCTGTTGGTCTGTACACACACACACACACACACACACACACACACAAACACAGATGTATGCACACACACACACACAC